CGACCCTTGAAAGCCGGTTTCCCTTATTGTAAGCATGTGGATACCGAAGCGAACAAAAAGTTTCTTTGATCCTATGGCAAATTTTGTCTAAGGGTTGACCGTTGGCGGCCGGCGCAGGTATAAAACGTTAAAATGTACACGATGAACCTACCCAGAAAACAACGAGGTCTTGTAGATGTCTAAAGATATCTTATGAAAGATTTCTTTAAGATATTTCTAAAAGATATCTACAAGTTGTCTATAAGATATCTAAATAGATGTAGTGGAAGATATCTTTGTAGAATTTATAAAAGATATCTATAGACATCTGAAAAGATATCTTAAAAGATATCTTCAATATATTTGTAATATATCTAAATGATATCTTTTAGAAGATATCTTTAAGAGCCGATTGTTTCAACTTCTTGGTAAGTTAAATAATAGTTTAATCATAATTTATCTGTCTAATTTAAGGAAGGAATAAAAATAGACAAATTAACTAATTACTTTAAACTTGGAACAACCGGCCCTAAGGCCGGTATTCTATAAGAAATTGTTCTCCTATGGGATATATCGTATCATCCGATCTCGTGTGAATCTTCAATTATATTTAAGACATTCTGAAGTTCATCTTGGCTGCATTCCTAATTCACGGCCAATACTGAAAATCTGTAGTTCATGTAACGTATATAGAATTTCAGTGCTGTCAGTGAATTACAGAACGCAACCCTTGAGATACTTCGTAGCCAATAAAAATCCGTGCAACATAACAACAACAGACAAATAACAACAAAGAACAGCCCAGATAGCAAAATGTGCGCAAACATGTCTTTTAGACTTCTAAAAGATGTCTAAAAGACGTCCTACTTCTTTTAGAAGTCTTTAAACATCTTTGTAGACATTGTGCTATCTGGGAGGTAAACAAAAACAGATCGATTGCGTATCTTGAAACGTGGTGAATTCTAGTAAATTCACTCACTTTTGTCATTCACTTGTTTCAATACACGCAATCGACTCCCAGACCTCGTGACTTCCTACCGAAAAGAAACCGTGCGGTTCAAGGATCCGATATTTATCAAAGGTAATCCTCGAAATCCTTCAAATTTACAATTGTATCTGTCTTTATACTTAAATCCTTTTGCCATTCAATGTTTAATATTTTCTGTGCGATTTGTATAACTAAGAATATTTTAATATAATTTACTCTATCCTAACCTTATGTTTTGCTGGAAAATTAATGTTAGTAATAAATGTGCTACATTTTGTACTTCAATGAACATTAGGATTTTAATCAATCACATTTTATGTTTAGGTTTACAACGGAATTGACACAATATTCGGACTGTACCAGTAGTACTTGGTTGTTGTCCTCCGTCTTCACACAATTATCGCCATAGAAATTATCTAATTTAATGAATTACTTGCTGATAAATTCCTCGATAAGGTATTCAAGTAATGATTACGATTCTTTGAAAAATTGAAAATTAGAAATAACATAACAAGCAAATAACCAAACCTGTGCGAGCAATCTATTAGCAGTATTTGTGACACAATCCTCCATTACATTTAAGACCTTCTGAAGCTTATCTTGGCTACATTCCCTAATTCACTGCCAGTACTGAAAATCTATAGTTCATGTAACGTATACTATAGCATTTCAATGCTGTCAGTGAATTACAGAACGCAGCCCTTGAGACACTTCGTAGCCAATGAAATAATCCGTGCAACATTTGATTAGATAGTTCAGCAGTGCAATTCCAAACAACAGACCTCATGACTTCCCACCGAAAAGAAACGTGCGGTTCAAGGATCCGATATTTATCAAAGGTAATCCTTCGAAATCCTTCAAATTTACAATTGTATCTGTCTTTATACTTAAATCCTTTTGCCATTCAATGTTTAATATTTTCTGTGCGATTTGTATAACTAAGAATATTTTAATATAATTTACTCTATCCTAACCTTATGTTTTGCTGGAAAATTATAATGTTAGTAATAAATGTGCTACATCTTGTACTTCAATGAACATTAGGATTTTAATCAATCACATTTTATGTTTAGGTTTACAACGGAATTGACACAATATTCGGACTGTACCAGTAGTACTTGGTTGTTGTCTCCGTCTTCACACAATTATCGCCATAGAAATTATCTAATTTTATGAATTACTTGCTGGTAAACTCCTCGATAAGGTATGTTCAAGTAATGATTACGATTCTTTGAAAAATTGAAAACTAGAAATAATATAATAAGCAAATAACCAAACCTGTGCGAGCAATCTCTTAGCAGCATTTGTAACACAAAGGCAATAGATTGCACACAGTATGTATTAATTTAGATTTTTAATGGCAGATTCGTGGTATATTGCGTGCAGAGCCTGCTAATAGACGTTAGCAAGATCTGCATTCTGCCATCAAGCTGCTGTCAGAGCTGTCATAGATTGTGTTAGCATACTCTGCCGGCAGTCTAACAGCAGATTGTGGACATCAGATGTCTGTGGATCTGTCGCCAATCTGACGTCAGTATGTGCACTGATTGTTTCAGATTTGAGGGTTTCATGGTCGGTGAATTTCTTCATTGTAATAGTTTCCGGTTGAGTACCGGCGTCCTGAAACAGTTTATTGTCGACGTTTCGCTAACATTGCAGTTTTGCATCTTCAAGGCTGAGAGTCCTGATATTGAATTTTCCTCTTTCGTGAGTGTGCTTAGGTATCCCTTTCCTTGTGTTGAAGAAGAAGAGGAGAGAATAATTAATATCAAGCTCTCAGCTCTTAAGATGCAAACTGCAACGTTTCTGAAACGTCGATATAAAGCTATTCAGGACGCAGTACTCATCTGGACGCTACTACAAAGAAGAAATAGGACATGATGTTTCTTTTTTAATCTACACGAAATATCTTTGTAATAAAATCATTGATATTCATTCAAAGAAAATTAAAAAATATAATAGTTTAAAAGATATTTCATACTCTGGCATAATTAATATAATAATATTAAATATTAAATATCTGGAATAATTTCACTTTTTCATATATTCGATATTCAATTTTCGTATTTTTATATGTGGAAGAACTACATATTATTTATTAAATATTTTGCCTTTATATCATGAAATTTTCATCATTTGTATGTAGGATTCAAACGACATATAATAAAAAATTAATAATGCCGAAAGAAAAAGATATAACGATTTGAGTCGGTCTCAACAATGGCGTCGGCGACAAAATATTGATTGTGCAGTACATACTATTGATACAGGCGATACATATAATATTAATTTAGACATTGAGATTCCTCATGAAATGTCTAATGACAATATTCTTATTGAAGAGAATAGTAACAATTATTTGAATAATAATAATATATATATGTATGGAGATGTCGAAGAATGCAATCAAAGAATTGATTCTTATTCAAATTGTAGTTATTCAGAATCTGATATGGAATTGATTGCCGAATGCAATAATCAATGTTATAAAGATTTGAGTTTTAATGTACAGAAAGAACTTGCATTATACAAATTTCTTTGGACATGGAGTCTTGAGTATAATATTACTCATGTGGCTCTAACAAAATTGCTTCAAGGTCTCAAAATCAATGGATATGAAAAGCTTCCTTGTAATGCGAGAACTTTATTGGGAACTTCGAGAACAACATCAATAATTAAGAATCATTCTGGTACTTTTTATTATCATGGATTGCAGACAGCATTGAAGAATCATTTACGATATAATAAACCTCTCCATGAACGTTGTGAAAATGAAATTAAAATCAACTTAAGCATTGACGGACTACCATTGGCAAAGAGTTCTAAATCGCAATTTTGGCCACTTTTAGGGCAAATTGTCCACGTTCATTATAAAGAAAAACCTTTTGTTATTGGAGTATTCCACGGATATTGTAAGCCGAAGAAACCGAATGAGATTATTCATCAATTTATTGAAGAATATAGTGAAATTCAAAATAAAGGATTCCAATATCGAGGAAAAAAATACAAAGTTTTAATAAATGCTATAATATGCGACGCCCCGGCAAAAGCATTCATGAAATGTATTAAAAGTCATACAGGATATTATGGATGCGATAAATGTGAAGAGGAAGGTGAATGGAGGAACAATCGAATGTTATTCCTTAATGAAAATGCTCCATTACGCACAGATGCAAAATTTTTATTACGACATAATGAAGATCATCATGTGGATAATTCACTTTTTGAAAACATTGGATTGAAAATGGTAACACAGTTCCATTAGATTATATGCATCTTGTTTGTCTCGGTGTCATGAAAAGACTTATAAATATGTGGATCCGAGGAATAAAGGGCATTAAACTGCGTGCTTCTCAAATTGATCAATTATCTATAGATTTAGAGCAGTTAATAACATACATACCTAGAGAATTTTCTAGGAAACTAAGAGGTTTAGATGAATTAGATGCTGGAAAGCGACAGAATTTAGACTGTTTCTCTTATATACTAGTCTATCAATTTTATGGTCATATTTGCCAAATGATTATTTGAGACATTTTTATGTTCTACATTGTGCAATTTATATTCTTTGTAATCCTGCCGATTGCGAATACAATAACGAATATGCACATGAATTATTAGTACATTTTGTACAAACATTTAAAATGTTATATTCTGAGAACTACGTTACATACAATGTACATAACTTGGTTCATTTACATGTTGATGTTAAGAATCATGGGTGTCTGGACATGTTCAGTGCTTTTCCATTCGAAAATTATTTTCAAGAAATGAAACGAATGCTACGAAAAAATGCACAACCGTTACAACAATTGCACAGACGATTAATGGAAAAATGTCAAACTGTAAGAAATATTGGGTATAAACCTGAAGAATATCCCATTCTTCAAAATGCCAAGAACGAAGAATTATTGTTTGGATGTACACAATCTCATAAAGAAATAATATTTGAAAAATTTACACTATCCTGCATCAAAGAAGCCGATTCTTATTGTTATATGAATAACAGAAATGTTCTCATGATTGAATATATTGGAAAAAAGAATGGAGAAACAGTAATACTTGGAAAAAAGTTAAAAAATTTCGATAATATATCTTCATATCCATGTGATTCGCGAAATTTGAAAATCTATGTCGGAAATGAATGGTCTGAAATTGGAATGTATCCAATAAGTCAAATAAGCGCAAAAGCAATGCGACTTCCTTACAAAGATACATTTTGTATAATTCCTATTCTACATACTAATGATTGAAGTGAGTTGTTATTTTTTATAAAAACAACTGTAATAATTTATAAATAAAACTAGTAATTTATAAATTGTATTATATCATACATAAATATATTATATTATACAAATAATATTGTTTAATCCAATTTGTAATTATGACAGATATTTATATAAATAATAAGTTTTATATATATAATATTTTTTTAACAATAAATTATGACAAGTTTGAACCATAATTTGGATGCTTTAGGATAGAAAATCATAATAATTATGAGTGAATTATTTTCATTTATTCTCTTAAATACTTCATCATTACTTAATCAGTATTTATTGTTACAGATGTATTACTCGTATTTTGGGACGAATACTGCCAAGTCGTTCCCGATTCTTGGGTAAACTTTAATGCAAAAACATTTACGTTTCCATTGTCTAAAAAAATATTACCAATACAATAAAAAGAAGATAAGTCCTGGAAATGATTGGAACATCAGTCATTTTCATAAAATTTTAGGACCTTACAATACATTTGATAAGGCTCGGGAAGCAGAAAAATCTTGTATTGATATATCCACTTCGGATGATATTCAATTTGCTTCTTTAAATGAACCAATCCAAACATTGCTCTGAAACGTTTGATAACGAAAAAAAAATTTTATGACGATGAATCGAATAATTACGTGAATGATTGTAAGTTTCAAATTCTATTACAGCAAATTACAAAATATAATATGATAAAACGTAAAGTAGCAAATTGAAAATGAGTAACAAAACTAATTTACTAATATAATTATATACTATATATAAGTATATAATTATAAAAATAAGTCGTAAATCGTTGAAAAAATTAATTTTCTATAAAATATAGGTAATATTTCCAAGAAATATAAATCAAATCAACATCCCCATCAAATTATAAAATACACGAAGGGATTGGAGCTACATCTACAAATGTTGAACTTGAGAAAAATTCATTACATTTTAGATCAGTGAGTTCGGAATATAACGTGCAGAAGCGGGTGAGTACTACAAATATTAATGATTAATATATAGAGAAAAATAGCGCTAATTAGGACGTGCTTTTATTCAGACATCGATTATTTTTTAATAATTTATAATTGGAATAATCGTAACTATAATACATAGCTGCAAAATAGACATTTCACAGCATTTCTAATGTTGTTCAGTGAAACAAAATAGTAGCATTTGATAAAACCATTTATATATTTATTACAATACGTGGATAATTATTACTTAATTAATAGTATTTTATATTTTATTTATTTATATGTAAATATAGATGAGAGTTGAATAAATTCGGACAAAAATCGTTATTTAATTTATAAATACATACATAAATATATATTTGTACACACACACGTATATGTTAGATTTACACACACATACAATTTGTATTTAATATACTTGAATTCCAGGAGGAAGATAAAATTTTATCCGTCAAAATAATCCATCTAATGCAATGTCCTTCACCTTTAAATGAACACCAATTTTCAATTCAAGTTTTTCATGAGGATGAGCAAGATGATGAAGAGATGACGGATGATACTAATTCTCGTGATTATGATCGGAACTATCGATAATAAGGAAAATGAGATAATTGGTAATGACAATTATATAGCGGTATACTTTTTGTCATGGCATATATTATATAAAGTTAGTTGAATAAGTAAATTCAATAATCTGTGAATCTATTTCTATTATTTTATTTAGCGATGAAGGCTCTCCAATTACAGAAATGAATGTAGACGAGGATATACATGTAATTATAAAGTAAGATACATTTTTCTTTCATATAGATGAATACTTTCTTTCATATAGATGAATACTAATTGATTGATCATACTAATGAATACTAAACAGTGAAAATAGTAAATCATT